GTTTAAATTTAAAGTAAGAAAAAATTATCATAAAAGCTGGTAAGTTGGACACTGTTATAATATGAAAAGAACACTGAATTGTCCATTAAGAGACCTGGATTCCAATTCTGATACTTACTGATACTTTCCCTCTCTGAAATAGAGCTCTTTGACAAAATAAGAACTCAGTGGGTTTTTGTGAGGATTAAATGAAAATACTACCTAATTTAATGCTTAACACATACTTGGCACGCAGTAATGAATCTGCATCTTGTGTTTTTTAAAAAATGAATACGCGAAGAAATAGAATTTTTAAAAACAACAAACCTAGGTTAAAGTGTAGTAGTATATATTAAAAGAAAGGGTCATTTATATTAGCCGTTAGGGAAATGCAAATTAAAACCATAATAAGTTACCACTACACACGTATCAGAATGGCCAATAAAGAAAAAAATATTGGCAGTACCAAATGCTGACAAGGCTTAGGAAAAGCTGGATTATTCTCACATTGCTGGTGGGAATGTAAAATGTTACAGCCACTCTGGGAAATAGTTTGGTAGTTTCTTACAGTTATCATACATATAGCCCAATAATCATATGCCTGCAAACCCTGGTGGCATAGTGGTTAAGAGCTATGGCTGCTAACCAAAAGGTTGGCAGTTCAAATCCACCACGCACTCCTTGGAAACCCTAATGGGGCAGTTCTACTCTGTCCTACAGGATCGCTATGACGGAATGGTTTTTTTTTTTTTTTTTTAATCATATGCCTAGAAATTTATCCTAGAGAAATGAAAACTTATGTTCATGCAAAGGTCTGTACGCAAATGTTTATAGCAGCTTTATTTTTAATAGCCAAAAATTGGAAACAGCCTAAAGGTTTTTTAAAAGGTGAATGGATACACAAACCGGTATATTCATAGCATCAATAAAAAGTAGCAAACTATTGATGCACACAGCAACTTAAATGAGTCTCAAGGTCATTATGCCGAGTGAAAAAAGCCAATCTCAAAAGGTTAAACAGTGTGTAATTGTATCTTAAAATATTCTCAAAATGACAAAAAAAAAACACCCCCAACAACAAATGTAGAGGTAGGCCGATCTTTAAATATATCAGGGTACATCTACTAACTGTAATATTGTTTGAGTAATAAATTCATAAGTATGAAGCAAATAACTATACTTCTATGTATGTACACAGATAAGAAATGCATAGAAATAGATGTAATTTTATTTGTTTAATGTTCCTTTAAT